AACTCAAATTCATTCCAAATGAGAGACAGACAGAGGCCCGGGAAAACACCTCGACAATACAACCCGGTACATCAAACGTGCTCGGGCCATTACCCAGCTGTGGGCTTCTGGAAACCGGGTCCAGTGTCCCTCCTCTAAAATACTCCAAAAAGAGTGAACAACTTTTGCCTCAGGCTCACATCGAAATTCATTACCAACTTAAAATTAAAATTAAAATTTTAATTTTAAAATATTTTTTATTTTATTTTTTATGTTTGTTGGCCCAGCCGGGCAAGTGGTCCCGGGGCAGTCTGGTAGCCTAGGTAATAAAGTAATCATGATCGCTCTTTTTTTTTTTTTTTTTAATGGGCAACAGTCGTGATATATATGTTCAGTGAAAGAGGCTTTATAATACATGGCGGCAAACGGGCCCAGCATCCCTCACATATGTGTAGGCTGTTCATCTGGTTGCATATGGATTCGAACTTGGGTTTGTATTTCGACAATTTATGTGTGTACCAACTGAGCTATGCCCGTTGGTTCTTTCTCTTGTTTTAACAGTTCAATCTATAAATATTTCGGCGTATTTCTTTGTTTTGCTAAGTTTAGGGCTTGTTTCGATTTGATCTGATGGCGATATTTTTGGTTTGGTTTTTGGTCATTTGCTCTGTCGTTATAGGCGAGCGTCGAGTGTTTTTGACATCATACTACCACTTTCTTTTCTTTTCTTTTTTTTTTCTTTTTCTTTTTCTTTTCTTTTTTTTTTCTTCATACTACCACTTTCTGACTGAAGCTCAAAGTAGCCAGAGTTCATATATTTCCACAGAAGTTGCCCTTCTTAGATGGAGAACACCTTCACAACCCTCCCTCCCTTTGAGCAAATTCTAACCTGACCCTAATTATGGCCAGATTCTGTGAAAAAAAACAGCTGCCAAGTGTATGTGGGTCCATGACTCCAAGATAATTGAAAAAGTAGGGACATGTCTCTGGGACCCGGAACACAGGATTTCCTGGCCCACTTTCTTTTGATTTTGGCCGGATCACTGGTTGCTGGTCCACAGTCCTGCTAGCAAAGGGGATTGGATTCGATGTCTAAATGTGGACGTGTTTCTAGCCAGGTACAGGGAGTGGCAGTTAATCTGCTTTCTGCATCTCTGTTTAGAACCCATCCAGATTCAGGCACTTGTTCGAATCGTCTTTGCTAGAGGGACTGTGCCCCTGGTCTCCTTGCTGTTTGTGGTCTTTTGCAAAAAAGAGAGTAAAAAAACTGGAAGTGGAATGTTGCTTATGCTGATGAGACTTGCTGGAAAGAATTGGCCTCGCTCCACTCACCATAACAACACAAAATTCGAAATGCATCTGGACCTGATAATGGTGCTATACATTCAAAATGTTGGGGCACTCGAAATGTAATATGAGCACAACGCAGTCCAGATAACACTTAGAATGTTGTGTAGCGGAGCAAGGCCCCCAATGGAACACAAAATTGGCCTCACTCCGATTCCAGTGTAAACCTTTTGCGCAGAAGAACATCAAATCGACCATAATGATGATCGATTGTCCACGAAAGAGTAGTAATTCAGGATTCCGAGTATTCTCTGATTGTAGAATCTTAATATGTCAGCATGATCCATGGGGACTATTCCACGTTTTGCCGTGGGTATAAAATCTCCTTTCAAAAATCCATGTTCTCGCAGTGTACTTAACAGTTTTACTAGAAGTCTAAAGCTAAATCCGCCTGTAACTTTGTCCGTTTTGCACTGCCACTGAAAAAATATGCTTCCTTCTTCAGTCATATGACTCATATCCCATTGTTGATTTACGGACCGATAAAACGATGCCCTTTCTTAAGTGGAAATGGGCCACTTGTTTTGGTTTGGGTAGATTTCAATAGTGCCACGAATTCGGAAAGTAATAACAAGAATAGCGAGCCCAATAGCAGGTTCTGCAGCAGCTACAGTTAATACGAATAAAGCAAATTATTGACCCAGCATGTCATCTAGATAAACAGAAAAGACTGCAGTCCTGTTCCTCCCCTGTCCTAGTTACCAACTTACCACCCTCAATCCCTCATATTCTGTGCGGGACATTCCCCCCCCTCTCCCCCCCCGGTTACCCAGGATGTTCTCGCCTCGTTGGAGACCTCTACCAGATTCTTCTTAAACCACCAGGACTTGGCCCAGCTATCGATGCCAAGCCTGGAATGCCCCTGCGCGCCAATTTTTACCGAAGCGCCGGGGTACCGTTTCAATTTTTTTTTGGCTGGCGCTTCCAGCCATTGTGGTCAGGTACCCGGAAGCCCTGAAGGCGCAGCGCGGGGAAACGCCACGGCCGATAGCTGGGCCCTGTGTAGGATCCTCAGAGACTATACGTGAAGAGTCCGAACAAAAAACAGAGTCAATTCACAAAGTACTGGTGGTTTAAATAGCATGCAAAAAATCCTGAGAAAGATCACAAGTTCCACAAGGCTTTCAGTGAGGCCAAGCAGCTGAGAGTCCAAGAACCGCAGGAGTTGAGTAGCTGAGAAGAACAAGGAGAAGAAGTTAACCCTCGTGAAGAAAGACCCTTGTAGAAAAAGAATGAGAAGTCGAGAAGTGGAGAAGTAAAAGAAAAAACAGAAGTTGAGAACCGACCAGGTCCGCATCAGGCCTTGTTCCAGACCCCGTACGGTGGGCCAGCCCTGAAACCCCCACTCCATCTGGGCCTTTGTTTTTTTTTTGTTTTTTTTTGGAATCCGGGCCTATTTTGACAAACCAAAAGTTGCATTTCTGTAAGCGTAACATCTACAGTGCCTCCGTGAGGAAAAATCATTGTGGTACCCTTCCCCGCCGAACCTCTACTGAGCCTAGGCACTGTAGATTTTGGGTCGGTACTCGTAGACAAGGATAATGAACAATGCAGGGGCTGTTGGAGTGGTGGTTTAAAACCACCAGTACTTCCTAAAGCCGCGACGGTTAGCGGGTCGCAACAATGATGAATGATCGGGCCCATACATTGGCGCGTCGATTCATTCGAGTACAAGTGCTTCTACTCTATTTTTTTCCGCGGCCAATGTATGGGCCTACCCCTACCGGTTGGGGCGGCCGTTAATGCGGAAGCCGAATCGGCCTGCCCCACCGGTCCAAATTCATTCGAGGACGTGGGGTATGAAAAATGCACTCGGTACTGGTGGTTTAAAGACCCTTCCTTCTCACGTCCTTACTTTTCGTCGAGCACTTCCCTCCCTGGTCCCATCCACTACTACTACCCTTTTCTCATGCGAGTGGAATCAGACCGAACTGCCTGGTACCATTCATATGTAGTTGTTCTATCTCTTCAATTCAACACCACAAAAAAAAAAAAAAAAAAAAAAAAAAAATCAGAACAGAGGAACCAAAAATAATCATCTTTCACGTTTCAACCCTGAGTGCTTCAGAGTTCTAGATCAACAGATTCAGTATTGCGAGTTGGATTGGTCCATCCATCTTTGTCTTTTTGAAGTAGTGTTTGTCCTTGTTTTGGTGCCTCCTTGATATGGTGTCTCATCGGGCCGATGTTTTCTATTTGCAGCAACAATGTCATGAATTTTTGCAATGGAAGAATCGGTGCTGTCAATGGAATGTACCCAAATGGCAAGGTCAGTATGCCCTAGGTCTTGTACTGTATCTTTTCTTTCTTTCTTTTTCTTCTTTTTCTTTTTTTTTTTAATAAAGCAAGGCTCCGGTCTATTCGTGGGGAGCAGCACGTGCTGGGAACCGGGCTCAGTGCCCGATATCATACTCACACAGCACCAGGGCCATTACCCGGCTTCAGCTAATGCAAAGATTTTGAAGATAAATTTCGTTGATTTTTCAGGGGTAGGGGCTGAGGAGTTGGCTGTGGAGTTGGCTGCAGGGTGAAATCTAGTGGTACCCTCGATGTGCTTGGCCGGTGATGCTTTGCTCGCCGAGGGCCCCACCTAATTTTGTGAGGGACGCTGGGCCCGGTTCCCAGCTTTTATAAATGTTGTTCGTTAAAAAAAGGAAGAAAAAAAAAAAGACACACAGATCAAGGTGGTCTTGCACCTTATAGAACAGCAATTTTCCCAAAATGGACATATTTAAAGATTATTTTATTTTTTGAACGAAATTGAAACCTCATTTTATTTTTTGAACGAAATTGAAACCTCATAAATTGGCCCAAATTAGGTGGAAATTTCAAGCTCTCGAGGGTCCGGCGTCCTTAATACCCCGGACCCCTTGGATGTATCTAGACTTAGCTGGAGTCCAGTGGGTACGGCGTTCTGAAAACGCTGTGGACCCTCAGGAGCTGAAAATGTCGACCTAAATCGGGCAAATTTATGGGTTTTCAATTTCGTTCGAAAAATAAAATTTGTCCTGTTATTGTATCATATGGATTTTCCGATTTTGTCATTTGAAAAAAGAATCAACTGTATTGAATCTATTGATGCCATTTGACAGGCACCTCTTGTGCACCGTTTTGGGACCATGTGCCCTGAACCCGACCCACCACCTACTACTGTCCGCGCATGGGACCATCCGCTCTAGGACTATCCAAACTGAAAACAAGTAACCGTCGTCCTGTGGAAAAGTAGTGTGAATACATTCACAAGGACTGTGCGTCGTGTTCGAGGGAAAGACGGTAGGACTATCCAGCTGAAAACTATTTGGCTGAGGAAGATCCACCCTAGGACGACCATCTGCCSTCGGTCAATCTGCCCAAGGGCCATGTGGCGAAGACAATCTGCCCGACCATCTTCTCCCGGATAAAATCTATAGCCATTATCTCTGTATTTAGACTGAAATTTACCCAAATACGG